GCTGCCCGAAATCTACCTGACGCGCCTCCTGTCCACCAAAGTGAGCGCGCGCTTTCGGCGGGACGCTTTCGGGGCCATTCGGGGGGGGCCTTTTGCTTCTAACCCCGCCCATCCGCTCCTCCCCAAGGGAACGCTGCAGAAGTTCTTGGACGACCTCTTTCAGGCCATCCTCAGCATCCCCCCGGAACAGCCCCCGCTGGCGGTCAAATACTTCTTTGACTTCCTGGAGGAGCAGGCCGACAAACGGGGCATCACCGACCCGGACACCCTCCACATCTGGAAAACCAACAGGTCAGCGCCGCAAACTCCGCCGCGCGAGCCGGCTCGCTGGCAAGCTTTTGAGGGACCCCCCTGATGCCGCCCCCCCCCCCCAGCCGTACCGCCGATCGAGCTCGCCGGATCTGCCGACAACACGCTTCCGACATCGCCACGTCGGCGCGCGTTTCCAACGGCGTCGCTGCCGCTCTGATCGAAAAACGGGTTGGACGCTGTCATCAGTCGGGTCGCAAAACGACAAGGTACCGATTTGGCCGACGCCCCGAGGTTCTCACAAGCGTACGTCGCCATCCAGCCGCCATATCCGTGGGCCCACCCCCTGACTTGCGGTCAGGGGGTGCGCTTGACATTTGAGGCAAACGCCCCCTTCAGGTTGGTCGCCTCCGTCAGGTTCGGGATCGGGGTCCCGAACAAGCTGTCGGCCACTCAACCCGCCGCCCGTCTGCGAAGCCCCCCCTGCGTCGGACTGTCAGCCGCATCCGCCTCACCGTGACTCATTTCAGGCAGGCCGACCTCCGCGAGGTCACGAGCGCCGCGGATCTCGCCGAGGCTCCTGCATCGGACTGTCAGCCGCATCCGCTTCACTGTGACTCATTTCAGGCAGGCCGACCCTCGCGAGGTCACGAGCGCCGCGGATCTCGCCGAGGCTCCGCACGAGTGTGTGTGTGTGTGTGTGTGTGTGTGTGTGTGTGTGTGTGTGTGTGTGTGTGTGTCCAAGCTCAGACGTCGGCGTCGCAGCCGTTGACAAATGTGTGTCATTCCTCCGTGAACGCGCTCTGCTTCCTGTCTCTCGCTGACTGACTTCCTTCCCCGGAGGAAATGATGCTCCTCCTCGACTCCGCTCGCACGTTTTCTTCTGGATATTTTTCATGGCGGCAGGGTGTCTTCGGGCCACCCGCACGTTTGTCGTTTTTTATTGTCGTCACCGACTGACAACTGCGGCCGGACGGCCCCTCGGAAAGGACGCGAGCGTGTGCGTTACCGCTGGAGAGTGACCATAAATCAGAGACGTGGGCCAGAATCTTCGCTCCTCCAAAACGGCAGCCAACGTTTGCCCGCGAACGTTGCGTCCTCAAAGGGAGCAAGCCATTTCCAAGGCTTCATGGGGCAGGGTTGAATTCCGCCTCCGGGCTTCCTGTGTGGACTTTGCATGTGGTCCCCGTGCCCGCGTGGCTTTTTTCCGGGTTTCCTCCCCCAAAACACGCATGCTCGGTTCACGGAACGTCCAAAATCAGTGGTCCCCAAACGACGGCCCGTGGGCCGGATATGGCCCGCCTCCACATTTTGCCCGGCCCCCCTAAACAATACCAGGGACGCATCATATATTTGTTTTTGTTTTTTTTTCCAGTGTGGCCACGTGATCGAGCCTTGCACGTGCATAGAAGCTAACCTTCCAGCTTTCTGCACGCTGATGTTTTGATGTTCGATGTGGGGCGATCTTTGTTGCCCTCCGTTCCAACGTTCGCACAAGCAAAAATGGACATCTGTGGCTTCATGGCGCTTTTCTCTCACACGGGAAGGCGTATCGCTCAAGCCGCCTCCACATTTCGCGGAAGAAGTTACGTGATGAGATCAGCGCGGGGGGGGGCAGAGCAGGACACGCACGGTCTGGATTAGCCACATCAAACGAAGCCATGCCCCCCCACCCCCACAACCCCGTTTCCACGGAAACTCTCTTATCTGGCAAGAAGCACGTTCACACAGGGGCGAGAGGTCACGGTTGGGGGGGGTTGGCAAACAGATGGGCGAACGGCAGGAAGTGACCTTGCGAACAGGATGCGAGAGGCTTCGCAATCGGGAGGAGCCACTTTGCCCATCAGTAGGCGCGCGCGCGCACAAACACGTCATGTGACACAAATAAGTCATGACACACGAGTTGTGTTGTAAGCACATTTGCCGTCGCCCTCCCCCACCCAACGACGACCTCCTGTCCTCCTTTTGCTCTCGAGCGTCATCGCCAATCAAAGGCAACCGTGCCCGGCGCGGCGAGTGAGGGGAAGGGAGCCCGCAGGGAACGCCCTTTGTCACCCGGCCTCCGCGAGTCGACGGACGCGACGCGCGTTTGACGAGTTGCGCTGCAAGCGGTTTGCATGGAAAAGCCTTTTTTTTTTTTGTTTGTCCTTGCGCAGGATTCTCCAACCAACAAGCTGCTCTACGCCAAGGAAATCCCCGAGTACAAGAAGAGGGTGCAGTGCTACTACCGGCAGATCCAGGAGATGGCGCCTCTCAGCGAGCAGGAGATGAACGCTCACCTGGCCGAGGAGTCTCGCGTGAGTGCCGCCCCCGCCCGGCGCCGCCGCCCACGTCGCCCCCTGATGGCCAAACTCTTTTGCAGAAGTACCGCAATGAATTCAACACCAACCTGGCCTTGACGGAGATCTACAAGTACGCCAAGAGATACAGGAACCAGGTAGGAGCTTCTTGCCGTCGCGCGGACCCCCCTCTCGCTGACGCCGAGTGGTGGAGTTGTTTGCAGTCGTCTCTGAGCTCGGGGGAGACCAAGTGTGTCGCTTGTGTCCACTCGAAGCCAAACGGCAAATTTTGGCAGGGAAATTTGGGATGAGGGAAATTATTTTGGGACACTATCAGCGTATCTTCTTGATGCTCGGCAAGAAGGAAGTCGCATGACTGCTGCTGTCCCACTCCGTCAGCAGTGAGGTTCTTCTCCACCTGCGTCGGCCCGTCGCAACCTGAAGTCAAGGCAACGGTGTCACTTTGCGTCGCCTCAAAGTCTGCTTTTTTTTTTGTCGCGCTCCGCTTGTGTCCAGGTGACGAACGCCCTGGAGTGCAACCCGACGGCTCGACGCACTCAACTGCAGCACAAGTTCGAGCAGGTTGTCGCCCTGGTGGAGGACAACATCTACGAGTGTTGCAGCGAGGCCTGAGTCTCCGCCCCCCCCATTGGCCTTCGCTATTGCCGTTTTGCCAGGAGTGAAACACGGTGTGGAGGCCCCCTCAACTACCCCCCCACCCCCTTCCCCATCCGAAAGGCGCCCGGCTTGGCTTCGAAAGGGAGGCCGAGAAGAGACTTCGGTCCGGTCGGCGGGACCCGAGGCCCGGCCGGTCTTAATGCACTGAACCTTTCCCCCCGAGGGAACGAGCCCAATGATGCACTGCGCTGTATTATATCGTGTCCATAGCAATATTTAGAGATGTGTCGTCATGCTTTGGAGTGGCCGTCCGTCCGCCCGTAGGAGCCGACGGTGGTCGTCGTCGTTGATAAAGCCTGTAATGTTCTCAGGTGGGACTCACCGCCGTCAGTGCTTTGAACTTTTTTTTGTCCCCGCGTGCTTTGCGGGCGAAGCGGAGACGGGTCGAGACCCGTAAAGCGGCTCACTGGGAAAAATGCCCTTCGCGGATCGAACGCCGTCGAAGCCGTCCGTCCGTCCGCGCGTCCTTTGCACCGAAGTCGAGGGAAACGTACAGCGGTGGCAAACGTGATCTATTATCTCAAGAGAAATGTCTCCTATGACTGTATTTGTGATGCCAAATGAGCGTGGACGAAATAAACAACGGCGTTTACGCTTCCATTGTGTCTGTGCCGTCGCCGCCATCTGGTCCGCCAAATGTCACCGCGGCTTTCTTTCCAAATGGGGAAATTCAGCCGATGTTTTGTTCGGCAACTGAGAGAGACAAATTAGCCAAAAGTGCGCACGACTTGAATGACTCCAGCTCAACGGTCCAGCGCGACGGTGGTAAGGTGAAGAAACGGATCAACCGTATGACTGGAGCACTTTGAAGCAACCGCCGAGGTCTGCAAAGTGCCCGACGTGGAGCCAAAACAGACGGTCGAAAAATGCGAAAAATGCCCAATCTGAAGAGGACTTTCAAGGATGGCTTGCCGAAAGTTGAGCGGGTGGTCGTGCCGAAGAGAGGGGAAAAGGCTCCGTCCCCTCTCGAACTGCGCTTGGTTCCCCGGACCTCCGGTCGTGTCCGGGCCATTGGGCAGGGGTGCGCAGGAGCTCCGAGAAAGAAGGCGGGGCCGGGCCACATCACGGTTTGAAAATGAATCAGAGGACCGAGCGGCGGCGGCATTCTGGACCGATTGGAATGGAGGATTGGCTGACTCCAAAGTCAAGTGCGAGATGTGAGTTGGAATGAGAGGGAGGAGTCAGAGAAGGATGCTCCGGGTCGCGAGGGAAGACGTGAGAGGAGACTGCAGAAGAGACTTGCATGGAAAAGGAAACGTTTGCGAGCCTCCGGCGAAAGGACCAAGGACCAAAATGGCCTTTTGAGAGCAACCGTTTATTTCCTTCCCGGCGACTTTGGCCTTCATGTTGAAACGTCACAAGGCAAGAATAGGCGGGCTGTTCCTTTTGCGGCATTTGCTACGCCATCACATTCGTCCTTTCAAAGTGGATTAGCGGCTCGCGAGCATCATTTGCACGCCGGCCAGTGAATGGCGAGCGGCGGCACGAGAGTGAAGAAGAGCTGCAAGCAGCGTGAGGGGATGCGGATTAGGAAAGTCATCCCCACCCACCTCTCCCCCAAAACAGGGGAGGGGGGCGGCGGGGGGATAAATATATATATGTGGTGCTTGCTGGCTGCGGACAGTGTCGGTGGGTTCCAAGATGGGACAGAAGGGTGCGTGGGGGTGCGGGAGAACGGGAGCCTTTGAGACAGTCGGGATGCGCAGCTCAAGCGGGGGCCACCTGACTGGAGGCAACGGACGAGATCTGAGTTTTGGAGACGGTGGCAGCCGCCCCGTTGTCTTCGTCTCCAAACGGGTTCTTGCCGCAGCACACGGTGGTGATCATGCAGTTGCGGAACTGAAGGAACAACACAGTTGTGTGACCCACCGCGCCGGGGTTGACGCCCCCCCCCCCAAAAAAAAAACTTCCTGCGACCTTCCACCCGTGATGTACAGACAACAACAAACATTGCGTCAATGGTATTTTGCTCCCAGTGGAATCCTATTGTACATGTGTTGTGAGGGGAAAAAAAAACGCATGCTATATATGAAAACATTTTCAGAAGAGAACTTATTTCAAACGGGAATTTGGCATCGCAAAGTGCGCTCACCTGCTTGTTGAGCAGGATGTAGATGACGGGGTTGTAGAGGGCGGCGCCCTTGGCGAAGAAAGCGGGCGCCGTCATGAAGACGGGCCCGAATTGGGTGCCCTGGTTGGCGAAGATGTACCAGGCCACGCTGGCGTACGGCACCCAACACACCAGGAAGGAGATCACCATGACAACCACCATGCGGGTCACCTCCTTCTCGGCCCGCTGCGTGCTCTCCGACTCCTGCTGCTGCTGCGCCGCCTGCGCGCGCACCAGCGCGTGTGGCAACAAACGTGCGCGTCAATCGCAGTTCCGCCAAGACCGCAAATACTTGGGTGTGTGTGTGTGTGTGTGTGTGTGTGTGTGTGTGTGTGTGTGTGTGTGTATATATATTATTAT